TAGCTAATCATTATTAAAAGATCTCTCCTTATTTCAGAGATAGATTTGTCTGGCTTCTGCTTCCAGGAAGAGGTGGTTATTATGCCTTTCCCTAGTAGATTAAGTTACCTCTTTGTACCAGTGTATCCTACCCATGACAAATGCTGTAATCAAGTCACCTCTCAGCGTCCCCCTTTGCTAAATTAAATGGGCTTTGCTCTTAAGTCTTGCTTAGCCCCGGCCCTTCCTGTGGTGATTACAGTGAGTGGCTGGCAGGGATTTTTTTTTTTTAATGGGTAGAAAACTTCCTTATGGGGAAAGGGATGGAGCCGATGGGACTCCAGTGACCATCGGCTGTGGGTGGAAACTATCAGCCACCAGTCACTCAACCCGGATTCAGACCCATGACCAGCCCGAGGAATGATGATTAAGAATTTCTCCAGGTTATTTCAGTGCATGAGCCCCGTTCCCTGAGGCAGCCAGGTGTAAAAGCCAGGAGGAAAATCCAGGATGGCAAATACAGGGGCTCTGTGTCCACCAGGCCATTAACCTCTCTGTAAATAGCATCCCACAGACTCTCTCCGCTCTCCTTCAGCCGTGACGTACCATTAAAGACATTTAAACTGTCACTTGGACACGACGTGATGTCCCCTGAGGTCCCCACAGGAGGCAATGCCCGTAGGAAACAAATCCTCCTGGAGACCAAGGGGGACCAAGGTCACTCCGGGAAGATTTGTTGGGTCAGTCTCAGGTGACTGGGCTCGTTCTGCCTGGTCGTTTTCCCATCTCCGGGCTCCCTGCATGGCTGAGCTGATCTTGTTCCCTGGATAAATCCCATCAGGAAGTGCAGTGGAGCAAGTGGTACTCACGGATGAGGCCATGCGGGAAGGGGGGACCCTGCAGAGCCCCCCGTGCTGCCAAGCATCCCTGCAGCCCCTTCCCATGCAGGGAGGAAAATCATCTTTCCTGCAGGACAACAAGGAAAATTCAGGTGCGTGGCTTCTGCTCCGAGCTAGAGGCAGCAGAACGGATATTTGCTAAAAACCTCTTAAAAAAAAAAAAATCTCTCTTTGTCCTGCTGGCCCCGGTCTTGCTCAAAGTTTGCTCCACATACATCCTGTATGTGTGACAACTGACAGACTTAGAACCACGTTGGAAGTTGGCTACAGGCAGACACTTCCCTAGGATCTTTAAAATATACATCACGACGCGAGATATTTTAAATAGATCAAAATACATTTATTACATATTTATATTATTTTCTCTAGTCTATTTATATCTTTTGGAGACTCTTATATATAATATATATAATATATTTAAAATAACATAAAATTAGCCAGTTTTGTCATCTGAAATACATTTTACAAATATATATATACATTGTCACATATATCTCAAATATATGTGCAATGAGACAGAGAAACACCAAAGGTGGAAAAGGTACAGATACTTCATTGCATCCCTCGGTTTCTCTACCACCATCGCCCCAGCAAACAGACTCAGTGTTTTACCCCTGGGAAACCAGTGCTCCCAGCTGCCAACCTGCCTGTGTGAACTAATTCCAGGTCCCGGCCCCCAGACCACGTGGGACCAAGCCTGGGGGAGCACTGGGGTGTGTTTGGGGGGGATGGAGGAAAGATGGGCACCCTGGGAGAGGGCAGCAGGACAGCTGTGCACAGCTGGTGGACAAGGTGATGGGCAGCATTGGGTTGGGCACCATCCCACATCCCACCCCTGCTCATAACGCATCCGGATCCTGCCCTGTGCCAACCCCCCGTGGCAGCATTCCTGAACTGGGGGGGGTGAGAGCGGGATGGGGCCGGAGTGCCACACCCAGCTGTCACACACTCATTGCAGTGTGCAAGAAATGAGAGGGGGAAACACGCAGAGGGGATTCTTTTGGTTGTCAGCACGAGAGGAAAGGAAAGAGCAGGAGGGTTTAAAAACAAACGTATTTGTTCTGCCTTATTAAAGATAGAAAAGGTGGCTCTGAAATCATCTCCTACAAAAGGTTTGAAGGTCAAGCAGGCACCGAATCGCGAAAGGTTGAGCGCTAAGTGATTGTCCCAGCCCGAAAAGACTAAGTGCACTAAACTGGGTTGTGAGAAGCTAAGGCTTGTCCCGACAGCCCCCAGCCCCAGGTACCCCCTGCCCGGCCCAGTGGGGACCCTGCGCCTGGCAGGGCACAGGATGCTCTTTCCAGAGGTGGATTTGGGGTGCAGGGCTGCGGCTTCCTGCTCTCACTGGTGCATCTCTGTGGGGTGAAGCCAAGTGGGAGCAGCAGCGGGTCCAGCCCCCGGTCCCCAACCAGGGTGGCTGCTGCTGCCGGAGCTGCCCCGAGCCCTGGCCGAGGGCAAACCCTACGGGAGGCTGGCCAAGAGGATTAGCAGCTCTATCCTTTCTCAGACTGCTGCCATCCTCCAAGGATCAAGTGTAATGCTGGAGTTAACTCCAAGGATGGAGCCGGTTCGCTGAAGGAAATGGCCGGCGGCTGTTTTGGGGGGGACATTTCCCCTCGCTCGACTCCAAACCCCTTCCCACAGGGATGCTGCTCATCCGTGCTGTGACCAACACCAAAACCCCGCACCAAGAGCAGCCCTGTGCCTTCCCAACCCCTCCAGGGAAGGGAAGAGCTTCCTTCATCTTGTTTTTCTTTTTTACCACTTTCTTTGACAATTTATGGAATTGAAACTATGGCTGGGCAGCCTTCCTGATGCTCCCTGATGGTAGGAAAAAAGACCAGTAGCTCAGAGCACTCACAGGTAGGCAAAAGTAATATTAATACACTATGTACCGGCGTGGTCCATGGCCAGGACAAGGACTATACAGTATATTTACGACGTCTCACCAGAGCTAGACCCTCACTAACAGGGTTTGGGGCAGTGAGTGAGTGAACAGGGTCTGGGGAGGGTCCAAAACCCCCTCACCCTTTCAGCCTCGGGCACTCCCCATCCCAGTTCACATCCTCCTACACAGCAGTTTAAAAATACATCTGTATATATTATTCTATTCTCCCAGGTAACACTGTACAATCATAGAAGTTTCTTTAAAAGCAATAATTTACTTAAAGACATCTCTATTTCTCTTTTGTTTTTATACAAATATTTACTGTGATATATATATATATATATATAAAGAAATTAACCCTCTGAGAACTCTACAGCAGCAAGATGTGCACCTTTTTTTGTTTTGTTTTTTTTTTTTTGTAATAATTATTATTTATTCAAAAGAACCTAAAACCACTTAAAAGCATTTGTTTAAAAAAATAAATAAGTAGTGCTCACACAAAATCTCTCTGTCCCCCCCCCCGCATCCTTCCCAACCCCCCAGATGCTATGGTGCAAAAAGTGAGGGGCAAACCCCTCCCCCCTGGGAGCAAAGGGACTGGTGATGGGATGGCATCCACCTTCACTGCCTCAGAAACATAAATGCCATGGCTGGAGCTCAGTGGCACATCCCTACGTGTCCCCACTTTTGGGGACAACCCATCTAGGGCACTCAGTGCTGAAGAAGCTGCCTCCCAGTGCTGCCCCTGGGGATGTTTTCTCCCAGTGACCAGTTTTTAGGGGCAGCCAAAAATGATGCAGCCCCTTGGTTGGCAGCGTGGGGTGACAGTGATGGACACTGGTGGGAAGAATCTCCGCAGGGATGAAGTCCCGGTGCCCAACAGGGTGCTCGGTGGCACGGGACAGGGGGACACGCTGGGGTATGCCATCCCTAGAGCCCTTGGCAAGAAGGAGATGGGGATGGGGACACAGAACAAATCCTACCTCTGCCACCCGTGTTTGGACACACCACAGCAAGTTATGGCTCCAGGACATGGCTTCACTGACGTGGGCTGGGGGGAGGAAAGCACCGGGAGCCCGTCACAGCCCAAACACGGCAGGGGACCCCGCTCTCGAGCCCTTCTCCCCAAGCATGGGTGCTGCCAGGGCTCCATGCCCAGGGTTGGATGTGGGATGCCCACGGCTACAAAGCTTTTCCCATGGCCACAGGGAGCAGGGAGCTGGATTTTGGCTCCCAGAGCACCAATGAGCAGCACGGATGGATGAAGGGACCCACAACCTGCATCTTCACGACTCCTTCCCTCTGTGCAACAATGGGGAGTAGGGCAGGAGCGAAGGCTTCCCGTGCATGGACTGGTTTGCCCTGTGCTGGAGCAAAAGCTAAGCCAGCTTGTCACCAAGGCCAGCCTAAAACACGGCGGATGAGGGGATGTGGGTGCTGCAGAGCAAAGGAAACGTGCCCCAGTGGGGGGGTGCAAAAGGGGTGCTGTGGAGGAGGGCTGGGGTGCGGGATGAGTTTGCATCTCTAAGGCACAATCCACCTTGAGGCTGGGACACAGGGGTGGGTGATTTTCTCGACTGGCATCTCTTGTTTTTGGAAAAACATCTGCCTCTGAAGCAGGACCTTCTGGTGAATAGGGAATTCATAAATCCCAGCCCCAGCACAGAGGTGGCTCCTGTGTTAAAAGAAGGGCAACCCTACAACATGACTTTCACATTGGTTTCCATGTTTAAAAATATTCTTCAAGGAAGAAAAATACCAAATTGGTTGGAAAGGTGGGAAAATACCCAATTTGGACAGCTTTCCACTCTCCTTTTTGTGCTTCTCATTATTTTGTCCCAGTCGTGATGGAATTTATGAATTCCCCATCAGAGATTTTGGGGGAGACCCAACACTCAGCAGCTGATGTTCCAGACCCCATTTCCACCCTGAAAATCAGTATTTCCAGATATTGGCTAATTACTGTGTTTACAGTGCTTTTTTCTATCACAGTCCTTCTTATCCTTATTACCTCCTTTACCAGTAATTCCTCTACTTGCTTTCACTGCCACAGACCTCCAGTCACTTACATCTGTTTTCTGCCTATGAAGCCATGCCAGTGGAAAACAAACACCTCAAAACTGGGTGCAGTCTTGACTTCTAGCTCTTGCATCTGCCCAACAAGTCACCCCCTCAAAGGACCCCAGTGGCTTCTTCATTCCCTTGTTCATTTTTAAAAAATACTGAATGACTTCTTTCAGATTTAATATTATTATTATTATTATTGTTATAATTATAATAATTATTATTATTATTATTTTGGTAAACAGTCTCCCAAACGGTTCGGTGAAAAAATTAAAAACCCTCTCACCTCCCTCCCCCGTTTTTTCCCCAAATTAAAAAGAAGTAAGTTAACGTTGCATGTTATTTCAAGTGTTGTTCTTGTGCAACTGAACCAGACCGCCTGCCGAAGGAGTAATTTTTTTTGTTGTTCCTGCTCAGTTAAAAAATAAAAGGAAAAAAAAAAACTAGAAAGAGAAAGAGAGAGTAAGATTCGTTTCCTGATATTTCCTCTTTTTTGGATCTCGCAGTGCTCGGCTCCAAGACAAGGCTGGCGTTTTCCCCCGCGGGGGGGAGCAAAGCCCCGCGGGGCCGTGTGGGGCCAGCGCCTGCCCGCGCCCCACGGAACCTCCTCTCTTCATCTGTCCATCCGTCCGTCCGTCTGTCCATCCCCCCCGCAGCCGCCGGCCCCGCCGCGGGCGCCGGGCGCGGGACACGCGCCGTGGGCTGCCACCGTCCCCTCCTGCAGACCGCTCAGTGGTTATTGCGATGAAACTGAAAACTATGAACGAGACTAATTTCTCAAGCATTCCTATGGCACTTGCATTGTTCTGCATAATTTTGAGCGGGTTTTAGGGGAAGAGATTAGAGGAAGGAAAAAAAATACCCTTGGAAAAGTCAGCGGAAGGACCAAGAGTCATATTTCTGACTCCCTCCTGTACGACCGTTGATCCAACGCTATTGTGGCTTGAAGCCTGTCGAACTCGTGCCTGTTGTCAGGGCTGATGTCCTCCAAACCCCGGCTGTCATCGTCTTCCTCTTCCTCGTCGCGGCTCATGAAGGCCAGTTCGTTCTCGTAGCAGAAGGAGTTGGTGCTGGGCAGCAGGAATTTGTTCTCCACCAAGTCCTTGGCGCTGCAACGTGGCGTGGACGGGACCTCATAGGTTTTGTGGAAGTGGGAATAGTCTACTTTGTACTGATTTTTCTCCTCAAATAGGACAGGCTCGAAGCGGTGGCCCCAGAGGATCTCACTGGCCAGGTAGGAGCTCCGAGCTTGCGTCGTCATGGCTGTGGCTTCTACCATGCCTTCCAGGATGACGACGATCTCAAAGTCATCTGTCTCCAAGTCCTGGCGGCTGATCCCAAACAAGGGGCTGTCTTCGTTGATCTCGTGGAGAATGGTGATGGGGGACACCAAGAAAATACGGTCCAAGCCTTTATCAAACCCCACGTCGATGTCTATTTGGTCGAGGGGTATGTATTCCCCTTCCTCTGTGATCCTGGGCTTAATTAGCTGAGCTCGTACGTGGGCTTCTACTATGTGGCTTTTACGGAGGTTCCCAACTCTCCACATCAGGCAGAGTTTTCCATCTCTCATTGCCACTACTGCATTATGGCTGAAAAGTAATGTCTGGGCCCTTTTTTTGGGCCTGGCCATTTTTGCCATTATTGCACCAATCATGAAAGAGTCAATTATACACCCCACGATGGACTGAACCACCACCATGAAGACCGCGAGCGGACACTCCTCCGTCACGCAGCGGAAGCCGTAACCAATAGTCGTTTGGGTCTCAATGGAGAACAGAAAAGCAGCCACAAAGCCATTGACCTGCAGAACGCAAGGCTTGAAGGTATCGTCTCCACCTGGGTTTTCTAGGTCTCCATGAATGAGTGCAATTAACCAGAAAATCAGCCCAAACAATAACCAGGACACCAGAAACGCCAGGGAAAAGAGCAAGAGCATATACCTCCAGCGGATGTCAACGCACGTGGTGAACATGTCTGCAATGTACCTCTGTGGTTTGTCATCCATGTTGGTGAACTCCACGTTGCACTGACCGTTCTTCTTTACAAACCTGTTTCTGCATTTCCTCCTGGTGTGGATTTTCCCGTTGCCAAAGCCGTTGATACCTGGCATGGTGGTCAACCTCAGCCCGTCTTCCTCGGAGGACACGATGCTGTAAGGGTTGACTCTGCCTGTGGTCATCCCTGAGCCAAGCCCACAGTGAAGGTGAAGGGTCCTGCGATTCCCAGTGTCCCCCTGACCCACCCCTGCCCACCCCCCAGATTCTGTTGCGGTGGAAGGGAAGTCCCAAAATTCCTCGTCTTGGCTGCCACGTCACCACGCTGATCCTGTGAGAGGCTCTGCAATGAGAAAACAAAGACACGGCCGTTACCTCTCATGCCAATGGGACCCAAGGGGCTCTTTGGCCATGGGCCTGATGGGGTGCATGTTGAGTGACAACCCCTCCACTGCCCTAATTCTTCCTTCTACAGACAGGCTGCTCCCAAAAAACACAGAGGAGGAAGGAAGAATGTCTTAGATTTTGTTCTTTCATAGTACAAACTGAGTGAGGAAACCTTGCTGGGGTGATGCAGCATTTGTGGAACCCTCAACAACTCCAGTGGATGAAAAACCTTGGGTAGCACTGGAATTTCTCCAGCTCCATTTTCTCATGAACTCTGCAGCTGGAGAGGCAAGCAGAGAGGCAGAGCTGTTCTCCTCAAGACACCGATATCAATAAAGGTACATCCGGAAGCAGCTCCTTCGGTTCACATTGCCCCTGCCAGATGGATCAATGCCCAGCCCAGCGCCTGACCTCCCAGCACCGGCTCTTCTGGGGTCAAGGGAAAGCACAGGGAGATGTGGATTTAACCTCTGTCCTCCTGCCCAAGGATGGGAGAGGACACAGCCAATGTGCAGCTGGTTGGAGAAGGCCCCGGGAAGGCACTCGCTAGGGGCAGATGTCCTGAGGAGCAACTTTCCCAACGTATCCACTGGGACATGGAGCCATCTACGGTCACGGATGGGTTTTGCTGGCCAAGCCTTATGAAGGAACAGCTGCCACTTGGGAAGGGGGAGCTGTTTTGGTCCCTTCTGGAGGGTTCAGTTGCAGGGTCAAAGACCTACACTCAGCTTTGCCTGGGAGAGAGGTGACATGGACACTGGGGAGGTGGCCCAAACTAGGTGGACTCCTCAGTGCAGGTGAGCCTGTGGTGGGGGAACCCAGTGGAACTCTGCCAGGCTGCTGGACGCCCCCAGCCCCTCATAGGACTGCATCAGAGAGTGGACAGGATTGTGGAGAAGCCCTGTGGCACATCCCAAGCGCCCAAAGAGATGACACTGCAGGAACACTCCTCAAACCATCTCCTGCCACAGGTCACCTCTTATTTAGTGCCATGGGATGTGTCACTGGGGATGGAACCACCTTGCTGGCACTGAGACCTTCACAGGGCAACAACGTGGTGAGGGATCAGGTGCAGAGCCCCCCACGGCACCCTGTCCTCACAGCACAGAGGCAGCAGCTCCTGCCTGGGGGCAGAGGTGAACCCGCCGGGCCGTACGTGCTGTGCCGGATCCGCTGGCCCGCTCGATGCAGTCGATTCCTGCAATCAGCTCCAGCGCCTGGGGACACACTGGGACAAGCACACCCTTTCCATTACACAGTGACCAGCACCAGGGAGCATTGCCAGGCACAGCCTGCCTGGGGCTGCATCAGCCCGGCTCACAGTGATACCCTGGACTGCCTTTTGCTGAAATGCTCCCCAAATTCAGCTTGGGAAACAGGAATCCCTCCAGAAGCTCAACACCACAAGCAAGAGCACTGCCCAAACCTCCCAGGTGCTGGGCACAAATCCATGTGTGCCACCACCTTACACCAAGCAACACATTTCTGCCTGCTCCGATCTGGGCACAACCATTTTTTATCCACAAAGTTGATTTTTCAAATGCCACAGTTGTTTGTTGGCGCCTCAGCAGACCAAAGGATTGCTTACACATGACTGGGGCCATCAGCATGAGAGCCTTTCCCTCCTTAGAGACACGGGAAATAATAAAAAAGGCACAAACAGTTAATGTTAATGGGCAATATTTACAACCCTATAGTCACTAGAAGTCATATGGGACCAAAGTGGCCTTTCAGATCTGATCTGTCAGGCCAACTGCAGGTTCATGCTGTCCAACTCCAACCTGGTCTCTCATCCCAAATCTTCCTCCTGATCATCCTGGCTACATCCAATAATTTCTCTCCTCTTTTTTTTAACGAGAGCTGAGCATGTGGGACCAGAAGAGGTTGCTCCTCTGTCACCCCTCCAGCTCGCCCCACGGAACGTGCTGAGTGCTTTTGCCACAGGATGAATTCAGAGTTGTTTTTTTTTTAATTAATTCTAGATGCATTTGAGAAGTCAACAAAATGCAGTGAGCTCCCAGTGACCTGCAAGAGGATTAGCTGGGGTCTGGATTAACTGTGCTGGAAGGGGAGATGTGCCCGGGTGACTGAGGAGGCAGCAGCCCTGCCTTTACCTGGGGTGAGGTTCCCAGGGACCCTCTTGCTCCCCAGTGACCACTATTGCTCCCCCCTGCCTGCACCCTTTTCCCCATCCCTTCTTCTTTTCCTCCATTTTTGCTTTCTTTGTCTCTTCCTTTCTTCCTTCTTTTTTCTTCCTTCCTTCCTTCCTTCCCTTTCCTCCCCCTCCTCCCATGTCACAGAGGGTTTCAGGGACCCCTCTGCTGCAGGACAATGCCAGGACAGACCTAAGGGTCTGACATTGTTTTGGGTACAGGGCAGCTCTTGTGACAAAGCCCATTGTTCCCCATTGTTCCCCAAGGCCACGGGACTGAGTCCTTCCCGAAGAACCAGAGCTCCTGGAAGGACCAACCACTCCCCCCATCCCAGGCCAGCAGGGGCACCATGGGGAGACGGCAGCTAAATAAAGGCAGCAAAGTGGATCTGCCGGAGCAGGAGGCCGCCTGCGGCTCGTGCTTTATTTAGCACAGTTTTGTTTGGAAATACACTTTCTCGAGTTCGCTGGAAGCCGAATTTCTGGTTTGGTTTAAATTTGAAGGCTGGAGCCCCACGCTGCCACTGCGGGAGGCTCGGGCTGGGAGAGGGCTCATGCAAACACTTGGAAACTCATGGCTGGACAGGCTCTGATGAGGGACCAGCTGGCGACCATGTCCCCACGGTCACCTTACATCTCCTTGGGTCAGGAGTGCATCCTCCAGCATCACCCTGGCACCTCCCCACAACCAGCACTGCCCCAGGGGGCTGGTGGAGGTGTTACGGGGGGTAACATCCCCCTCCCTGCCTCCTTCCCAGGAGTTTCACACCCCTGGCCATCAAAGTTTTACCTCACAGGAACAAACCCAAAACTTCCCCTCATAATCACTGCCCATTAATCCCATTCCCAGCCCAGCTTCAGTGCAGACAAGCCCATGCTGGGCGTCGGGCAGGACCGGGACCATCCCCTGCTGCTCGTGCCACGTGTCCTGTGCAGTGCTAATAGTGTTAACACGTCGGAAACAAAACAGGCTCATAACATTAGTTTCGGGAATGAACGGCCCCTGGCTCCCCGTGGCTCCAAAGGCAGTGACGCCACGGACTGCCCCAGCTAATGAGCTGACACAAGAGGCAACAACTCCTGCCACGAAACTGCAGCAACCCAACTCCCACCGCGGAGCGGTTTCCCGCAGAGAATCCAAGTGTCTCCAACAATCTGCCAACTGCACAGTTTAATTTTATTTATTTTATTTTTTTTTAAAAAGGGGATGTTAAATGTTACAACAGTATTAGGAACAGCCAGCACGCTGGGAAAATGTGTCGGGTGCCAGGGAAGTCATTACTTAGAGCCGGCTGAATGTGTCAATGCGATTTATCATCACACCTTTCCCTGTACCTCTGGAGGGGATGCTTTTTGGAGCCATCAGGGCTGCCCCCCACTCTTGCATCCTCCCAGCACTGATTTTCTCATGGAATTGTGCAGGCAAACAGGCTGTGTTCAGGTGGAATCGGCCCGGCAGGGACTTGGAGGAGCTGAGTTTGGGGATGCAGGTCTGGAGAGGTGACCGTGTGGGACGGGTCGGTGTGAGGAGGTCACACTCGGAGCTGCTGCCTGCCCTGTGCTGGGAGATAACACTGCCCTGCACCGGGAGATAACACTGCCCTGCACCGGGAGATAGCACTGCTGTCTCCCTTCATGGCCCAGCGGCAGGACAGCAATGTCAGTGGCGAGGAGGGAGCTCTGCTCCCGACCTGGGACCTCTCAGCCAAGGGTGTCCAAGTCCCTCCTGCTCATCCCGTCCCAACAAAGCGACCTGGCACTGAGCACCCACAAGGCGAGGGGAGAGCAGCAGAGCTGGGGGCTCCCTGAGCTGTGCTGGGGCAGCACCAGTGCCTGAATAACTCTGTCCTCTGACGCCCTGTCTTTGAGCACTTCCAATAAATTAAGGGTCAGCACGAGGCAGGGCCAGTATATCTCACAATGTATCTGGAGAATAGACAGCTCCCTGTTTCCCCTCCACTGCCAGGGAGGACAGGCAAGAGGCTGCTACCACAGTGCATCCCTAATGAGAAAAACCTGCTCCGTTTTGGCAGGGACACAGGTAGAAAACAGCCACGGGCACACACCCTTCTGCTGGACCCCCCCCCACAACCCCCTAATGCCAGTGAGCAGCTCAGAAATCGCTGTCTGCCAGCCTTGATGGCAAATGCAGAAGGGAAACTGAGGCACGTGGGAAAAGGAAGGCCCTCGGTGGGAAGACCGGAGGTGACGGGGTGCCTGGAGAGATGCTGGCTCATCCCTGTCCCCCTGAGCCACGTGTGGATGCCACGGGCATGGGAGGAGGGAAAAGGGCCACGTGCAGCGTTCATCACTGCTGGGGCCAGGTGGCCTCTGCAGAGTGACAGGCTTGTGCTTAAGCACCCTCAAACTCCTGATAAATGTGATCAGGGAGCTCCTGGGAAAGATCCTTTTGGAGGCTGCACTGAGCACATGATTGGTCCCCAACTCCATGACACAATGAGGGGATTGAGCATTCCGGTCTGGCTGCCTCCATGTCTGTTCCAGCTCCAGCACCCAGCCCTGCTCCAGTGCCCACATCCTGTGACAGTGACAGGACCCCAGGGCTAAACATCCAGCCCCGCTGCCCCCACCACTCCCAGGTGATGCACCCCCTGCCCAGCTGCAGTGTCAGGGAATGTTGCAGCTCCCACAGCCATCCCAACCTGCAGCCAGCTCTGCAAATCCTCAGGTCCTGAAATCCCATCTTGCCTGCCTGGGAAACACTGGCTGTTTTTCCATCTGCTCGAATCCATACGGCTGGACAGCAGGACATGGCTGGGGTTAAGGATGAGGGCAAGGGGAGG